AATGAGCGTTACTTAAACTGTTCCTCTGTTCTGTTCTGCAGCGACTTAGAAGACACGGTGACATTGTGAAAAGAACCGTAGGTGGATATTATAATGTTCAAGGCAGAGCTGATGATACCATGAACCTTGGAGGAATTAAGGTAACAAGATTGTGTTTAATACACCTTGTTATCCTCGAATTTTTAATCTTTTTTTTTGCTCATTTATATAACACAGACAAGTTCTATTGAAATCGAACGAGTGTGTGACCAAGCTGATGAAAGCATCTCTGAGACGGCTGCAGTGAGCATAACGCCACCTAACGGTGGTCCAGAGCTACTGGCCATCTTCGCAGTCTTGAAAGATGGGTTCAAGAGAAAGAGTGAAGAAGAGCTCAAGAGAATATTCTCAAGAGCCATTCAGAAAGATCTTAATCCTCTCTTCAAGGTAAGTAGTAGCTTTGGATGGGTTCCGAAAATTCAAAGTTACAAAGAGTTTGTTTCTGCTTGAAAATGGATAATTTTATTGCAAAAATTTTGCAGGTGAGTTTCGTGAAGATTGTGGCTGAGTTTCCAAGAACAGCTTCGAACAAGTTATTGAGAAGAGTCTTGAGAGATCAGATGAATCAAGAAATAAGATCTTTGCGGAGTCGAATATAAAGCTATGGAGAACAGATACAGTTGGAAAACGTTGGTGTTTATTGAATAAGAAGTTAAAATAAATAAGATAACGGTTATGTTGCAAGAGACATCTGTTGTTGTTTTTTGAGGTGGAAAGTCCTCCCAGGAGCATTGGCTTGAGATGCAAGAAAGAAATGATCCCATTTAATCAGTTTGTTTCCCGTTGCAATATTCATTTAATAAATGACGAGAATATACTTTGTCAAAAAAATGACGAGAATATATGGGGAGAATGAGCTTTGAATGTAAGTCACTATCACTGGGACACATGAGCAGAGACGTAGTTTCTGTGGTGAGCGATACTGGAGACTCGGTGAGCGTGGAGAACAAAGGGATATTATGTCTGAATGATAGTTTTATTAGACAAAATGTTAAAACACTATTTTATATGTTTTGAAGATAATAGAATTTTAATATCTTCTTGTCTACAAAATGAAATTATAAATTGCATGTCATTAAAAAGATAATTTCAATATGCATACATAAAAATTTAAAATCACAGTTATAAGAAAATTTCTCTATAATACTAAATTAATCAATAAAAAAAATTAAAATGACATAATACTAAATTATGTGACAGATCATTAAATTGACAGAGTAAAGATACCTTGATATACTATAAGTAGGCATGGGCATATGGGGGGTCTCAATCGAGTTTCGGTTTTGGTTTTCCGGATTTATCAAAAATCAGCCCCATTTGGATTATATGAAAATTTGGTTCGGAATCGGTTTGGATTCTATCGGGTTTGGATCGGGGTTACTAAATATTTAGAGAACCGGTACAACCCGATACATTTTTGGGTTTGGGTCCCAATCGGTTCTTCAGTTTAAAAGTACATATTTTTTACCTATTTTGTAACCAAAACATAAGTAAAATTGGTTCTTCGGTTTTAAAGTATCTGACTTGTACATATTTTATAACCAAAACATAAATAAAATTGGTTCTTCGGTTTTTTAGTATCTGACTTGTATATTTTATAACCAAAACGTTAGTAAAATTGATTCAAAAATAAGAATAGAGCATCAAACGTGATCATTCAAAATCAAATGAACGGTAAGCATAGTTATTGATAGAAAGAAAACCAAATAAATGAAAGAATAAAGAAAAAATTCTCATGAAATGAAAAACATTATTTAATGAAAACAAAATTAAAATCTAAAAGTTTCAATTTTCAACCGCCACCTTCAATCATCAACCTCCGTGTAATAGATATTTAGTTTAGATGGTCAATAATATTTTAGAGTATTTTAGATACATATTAGGAATTGAGATCATGTTTGATACAAGTTTTTATGGGATTTTGAATGTTTTGGGTTTTCTCGGATATCCATTTAGCTTCGGTTCAGTTCGGATAATACGCATAACCCGAAATACCATAAACAAGATCCATTCAGTTTTATGTCGGGTTCAAATCAGTTCGGATTCATTTTTCTCGGATCAGATTCGGTTTAAGTTTTCGCATTCAGTTTATTTGCCCAGCCCTAACTATAAGTCGTAACTCAACCCCCAAAATACAATATATGGTTTAATATAGTGCAAACATAGAAAATAACAAACAGAACACATATCATATTATATAATTGAATCTCATATTCCTGAACTACATGCAAGATTAGTAGCTTCCCCATCTTTATCATCAATACCATCTTCGATATCACCAAAAAGTTAAATCTTAAGTTAGCTAAATATAAAACATAGTCTTTTCAAAGGAACAATAATATTTTACCTTCAAATTTTATATAACCATGCATTTTTTTTGGAATAAGATGGTTTCATTATGGAGTCAACATCCAACTTCCAAAATACTAAAAAGAAACTGTGATGCCACTATAGTGATTGAGATGCTGAGAAGATTGCATGGTAGGGATGCTAAATCACCATGGTGATGCCTATTTTCTTTTCAATAGCTTAAAACTTATATATGTGTGTGTGTAAAAGCTTTTAGCTCTAGCCTTGATCGTCCAAATATAACTCTCAACTCAATTTTTGTGTTATCTCCAATGTCAGGGAAAATCTACAATCAACTCAAACATATACTCAAAGAATTTCATAAGCACATAACCATCAAGACAAGAAGAAGCAAATTTACATAGTTCAAATTGTCCTCAAGAGGTGACTCATTATGAAGTTCATCTAGTGTTAGTTTTGCTGAATAATTAGAAGACAAACTCATCCAAGTATTGCTTGTATATTCTTTGTAGAGAAATTTCAAATTCTTCACAACAACTACAACTTTTCATCGGAAGTATTGAGATATACTTTATTATAAGCTGATTTGAGTCTTGAACCTTTGATCTAAAACAACTACCATTAGTAAAATAATGTTGTATTCATCCCAATATTTTGTAAACTTGGTTTGCATTCTCTTAGCCATTATTTCACATCTTCAAAAAGTCACAAATTCATCTTATGAAAAAATGTGATATAACTTATATCATACAATTTGAAACTAGCATGCAAATATCTTACAAAATTTAAAAGTTCTCTCATTAGTTGAGGTCAGACGAGTTGGTACATTTAAAGACAATCTATCTAAAGACAATCTAGATTCACTCTTAATCCTTACACTCTCAACACAAGCTGCAAATAAATATTTATTTGATCCAGAAACTTGCACAAAATTCTCACTTTCTCGAATAATTCCAAAAGACTATTAGATAGTTTTAATCTTTCATTCACTATAAGATTCAAGATATGAACACAACACCTCACTTGTAAAAACTTTCTTTCACACAACAATCTATTCACACTAATCATTTGAAGACAATTTTATAGTTATTTTTGCATGACTAGTAACATTATCCATAGTGATGGACAAAATTTCTTTTCTAAACCCCATTCCACATTTAAAAACACTTTTATTAATAGTTGGAAAAGACCTTTAAAGTATATAAACAAAAAATAACAAATGACTGATGTGTTTTTATTAACCGATCAATCATTAATCAAACAATATTGTGACAAATAGCAATAACTACATTTTAACAATTAATATTGTCACTATCTGATTCGACAATAACCGAATCAAACTTTAATCGTTTCTTAACAATTTATTTTAAGTTAAAATAAGGTTTAATAATCAAGTTAACAGCAATAAATTAACATGTAGAGCCAAACACACACCCAAAAAAATATTAACACATAGACCCAAAAATTAATGTATCTTGAGACTAATAAATAGATCACATGTTAAAGATCTATTCTGGTCTTATATCATAAATAATGAACAGATATATTTTTCTTAATCCATTTGAAAATCATATATCTATACATATTAATTTTAGAAATTGGGACAATTTTGATATATATATATATATATATATCTTTTGTTTAAAGGCTTTCAAAACAATGTTTATATCTTGTTATGTCAAGAAACGAACCATGAATATGATTATTGGATCATCTACTCTATTAAAATAGAATCATTGTTTTTATCTACGTATAAGTAGTCTACTAAGTAGGATCATTTATCTACAATCCTAACAAATATGAATATCATATATAACAATATAACTTTATTTTATTTAACCCTTAAAAATAGCATCTATTTTTGTTGGTGATTTATATTTATATACTAATTTATATTTGTATGTAACATATAACCTTATTATATTTATACACATAGCATGATATTTTATAGAGTAGATATAGTACATATATATAATATTTTATTTAATATATTTCTTAACTTTGATCTTTGTGTATTAGAAAAATACATCCTATCATACTATTATACATGAATATTATAAGTTGTCTAATTAAAAATAATTTTGCCATGACATATTATACATGTCATTTGTATTAGAAAATTACATACTATTATACTATTATACATACATATTATAATTAGTCTAACTATAAGTAAGATATATATATATATATATATAATAAACAATTCGTAATTATTTCACCAACAATAATATATATCCAACTAGATTTTTTTTAAATAAACATATTTCACCAACAATTATAACAACTAACCTAAACATATGTAAAATAATAGATGTATATTTAATAGAGTAGATGCCAAGAATTATGCTATAAATATTATCTGAAATTGTACTTTTGTTTTCGGATAAATAAAAAAAAGATATCATATTTCTTAAGTAAGCTTAACTAAATATATTTTAACCCTAACAACTGTATGACTATATACGTATAACCATAACACTAACGTATTATTCATCTCCCATTTCTCTCCATTGTTTACTTTACGGCTCCAAAAACTAAAAAAATTCGTTAATGACATCAAACCCTGGAAAACAGAATCGCGTATTAATGTCAAAGCAGTTCATTCATGGAGGCAGAAAACCAAATTTGGTGGTGATTAAAAATTTGAATGATATTAATTACTAAATATATTCTAAATATCTTAAAATAATAAATATATGGTAAAATATAATTCCATTTGAAATTTCAGTTATAAAATATATAATATTGAATTCAATTTTTATCCAAAAAATAATATATAAAATATGTATTTATATATACATTTTAATTAATTTGTGGTTTTAAAAAATAATAATATATCCGCGTAGGCGCGCGGGTCAAAGTCTAGTTCTACTTAATTTAAATTTACAAACAAGAAGTTTTGAAAATTTGGATCATTAGTAAATAGGTTAGGGGTTTTTTTTTTTTTTGAAATGCCTTATCTCACATAGATGAAGATTTTTTTACTATTTTCTTCTATAAATTCATAATTGACTTAAGACAGAAAAAAAAAACAAAAAAAAACCCTAAAGGGAGTTGGTTTGGATCTGGTTTTACATGAAAAGTGAAACCACGGGAAACGAGTCGTACACAGAGAGAGATAAAAGAAAAGATCCAAAGAAGAAGAAGAATCTTCCGATCACTCTTCCTCCGACAATCTAACAGTCTTTCAGTCTTTGTCTTTATGCTAGGAATCGTGCTTCCTTCACGTTTCCGAGCTTCATAGTGTCTTGACGATCAAAGTAGTGATTTTTGAGTGAGGGAGATAACGATGTGGACCAATGTTTTCAAAATTGTAAGTCTTTACTACACTTCTCTTTTGATTCAAAGAAAGTTCTTTGTAAAAAATAATTGATTTTTTTGATATTGATACTACTTACTTCCACAGGGAGGTCTACACAATGTTTCTTGGTTTCAGTTTCTTCCTAGTGAAACTGAGCTCAATCCTAGCTCTCATACAAGGTTAAAGCTGTGAGCTTTTTATTATTATTATTTTCTCATACAGGATTAATAATTAATCCTGTAACTCTGGAGATTTTCAGTTCAAGAGCTGAGCAGAATGATGTTGCGACATATCTCGTGCTTTCATCTCATCTTCGGTTGCAAAAAGAAGGGTTTCTTAGCACGTGGACCAACTCTTTTGTTGGACCTTGGGATCCTTCTCAAGGCTTATACAACCCTGGTAAAAAAAAAGCTAAACCCCAATTTTTGTATGCTTTGATATCTGATGATCATTCTGTCGCTGCTGGTTAGATGAAAAGATCAAGCTTTGGCTTTTTCTTCCTGGTCGTCATTCATCAATCACTGATAAAGCTCAGGCTGCTGTCTCTAAACTTAGAGGTATTGTTTTGTAAATGAGTTATTTTTGTGTCTATTCTGGTTCTTATTTTTTTTGTTTCTTCTGTTGAAAGTTGTTGCGTCAGGAATATGGGTAGCACCTGGGGACTCTGAGGAGATATCAGTTGCCTTTTCACAGTCTTTACGTAATTGCATTGAAAGGTTTAGTTTTTTATGGTCTCTAGATATAATGGTTGGATTAGGGAGACAATGGAGAGTTGAAATATCTCATGTTAAGTTGTTTGATATTGCGACAGAGCGTTAAGTGGACTTTCCTATATGAGATTTGGAGATGTGTTTTCAAAATTCAGCCATCAAAGTGAAGAATATTTGAGGTACCTGCAACCTGTACCAATAAAGCGTAGTCGCTGAGCTCGTTTCATAAGTTTTCCCATTAAAGAAAATGTACTTGTTTTAGCTTCTGCTATTCATATGAGCCTGCAAGACCTTGGTTTCCTGATTGTAATTTCTAAAACCAAAAGAAGTTTATGATTAGGTGTGCGGCTAATGATCCTTGGGTATTTATGCAGGAGAGGTCGGCCTACTATTGAATTCGTATTTGCTGCTACTGAAGAGGCCGTTTTTGTCCATGTCATTGTATCTGCCAAGTCCGTATACATAATTTTCATACATGTTCGTTTAGTGGGTCCTATAGTGATTGTGAAACTAACATTGGGTTTAATGCGCGAAGGAATGTCCGGACACTTTCAAGTGGCGATGCAGAGAGACTGACAAGGAGTTCTTTAAAAAACTCCAGTTATAGGCTTCCAGGTTAGTCATTTCTTCCATGATCACCTGCGATGCTAAATTTTTCTACGTGTCTATGATAACTGAAAAGAAGTCGATGAAACTAGTACCATGTTGACCTTTTCCTGATTTGTACTTATATGTTAGTGAATGAACTGAGAGCATGCGACTTGTGAACTCAATGTTCAGTGCATTCGACTCTGAAAAGAAGCTCGTGTAGTTTAGTATCATCTAAGTTCCTCTAGCAGAGTTATAATCTCCTTTTCTTTTGCATGCCTTAAGAGCTCAACTGTATTAAATTTCTTTCTTTGATTCGCCTAGAGTTGAGACAATAGATTGTGCTAATGTTTCTTTTAAGACAAATTTGTTGAACTGAGACCTGAAATGAATCGTGTGCCTTCTGCACATGCTTCTAGAAAGATAGGAGCATTTTATTTGATAGTTATACTTCTCACAGGCTTTTGTTATTCTCACCAGTGATTGTCTCTCCTCATGGAATGCGGGGCAGCCTCACTGGATTCTGTCCCAATGACCTTGTCAAGCAAGTCTACTTCAGGTGCAATTCATACCTTTCTATCCAGTGTCCAACTCGACTTTTGTTTAATGCATAGCCGTTAATCTGATGTAATTGTCAACTAAGATTAGTTTTTTTCACTCATACAGTTCTGGACACGTAAGGTCCTCGGGTGGATATATTGGTCTTCCTCCTCATGTTGCTCGTGGGTCCCGTCTGATAAATGGCGATCATTGTCACGTTGAAGTTACACTTGGTTCCTGCCAAAATATAAATGACAACACACGTCAAACTAATTCGACCTTTGCGGCCAATGTTCCCCACAATCAGTGTCCTGAACCATCAGTTGGGAGTAAAGATCACCGGAAAGGACAACCAGATATATTATCTATGTGTGAAAAAAAGTTCATATATCCAGCTGAGGCTGTGCTTGTGCCAATCTTACAGTCGGCATTTGCTAAATTTTCTTTGAAAAGGTAAAAATGTCAAGGTGAGGAAGTTATTTAGAATTTGTTGGATAGTTAACGGTGAGACCCGAATTGGCCATTAATGTTGCTAATTATGGACAATTTATATCGTTTCTGTTAAATTTGTCTACAATTTTGTCAGGGTGTGCATGTAAGTATTCAGAAAATTGACTTTGTAGGATTATAGTGAGAGGGGTTTTAGGAATTGTTTCAGACGCATGTTACAGAGTGTCAACTTGAAATAGATGTAATACTTATTATCTTTCCCCAGCTTGGAGCTGATGCAAGGTGAAATCATACTTGCAGATTTTGGCTTCAAAATTGGATAGGACCATCACTGGCAGGCTCATCGTTATTTATGCACTGGTGAGTCCTTTTCTTCTATTTCGGATACATTCTGAACATCAAAGCGAACTCATAGAGGTCCGGAAATGCAATCCTCATGATTCGTAGCTCCATAGGAGTGAGATCTGTTGCATTTCTGAGTATTCGAATATAAAGCTTTGACTATTTCCTTGTTATTATAGTCTGTTCATGATCCATGAATATTTATAGTCTATTTTATGCAGGGCTGGTGATTTTGACTTCCTTGGGGCGTCTGGAAATAAGAGTGATGAGTTCTATGAAAAAAATGGCTATAACAGCAGCGGCAGTAGCCGTAATAGCAGTATTAGTTCAACAAGTAGTGCTTCTAGCGGGAGTGGTTGGAGAAGGAATTCAAGAACTGGTGACCTTGATGCGGATGCCGATTCTTTGACTTGTGATGATGATCACCCAAAAATGGTATGGCTTGTATCTGTGGCAAGGGTGGGGATGAATAGTACTGATAACCAATCAGTAACATAACATCATTTGCAGGGTTCCAAGCGGCCGCGAACAGGGAACGCAGAATCATTCGGTCAAGTAGGTACAGTCTCTAATGCACCTATTTGAGAAGCATAAACGTAAGGATTGGGTTCTACTAATACTAATTAGCTGATTTTCCAGGCATTGCAAATGATCAAATTGGTTGGGATTGGGATGATAACGATGATGATGAAAGAGGAGTTGGCATGGATATCCAAGCACTTCTTTCAGAGTTTGGAGACTTTGGTGACTTCTTTGAGAATGATGTGTTACCTTTTGGGGAGGTAATTCCTGTGTTCTATTATCCGTCATTGTGATTATTACTTGCGTTCTCTATGCTGCTGAGTGATATTCCATTCCTGCATTGGTTCAGAAATCTAGACTGTATCTCATGAGGTTTGGGCGGATGGTCGTGCTCTTATTTTGTTTTGGTCATGTTGCCTTTGGTTCACTCCTTCTCTAACAAAGCACCTTATATGTTTGTGCAGCCGCCGGGAACAGCAGAGTCGCATGCGCTCATGCTTCCTTCAGATTCTGCTGATGTAGGTTCTAGTCCAGTGGATATGATGGATGTATCAGAGCAGATTGTTTTGCCCGTTGGGTTTTCGTCTTTTGAGAGCTTTAACCCTGTTCCCCCTATCATTGATGAATGCCTTACCAAAAATCAAGAAGTCATAAACCACAGTGTTACTTCAGCTCCTTCAACTCATATGGCAAGCTCTTCTACTAGTGAGTTCGATCATTTGATGAAAGCAGAAGCTATGATGACCTTTGCTCCTGAGTATGGAGCTGTTGAAACACCTATGAGCGAGAGTTCATCGACGTCTTTCAAAAGCCCATATCTTCCCAAATCTCATAAAGTGGAGAGTTCTAATTCAACAACGAGTAACTATGTTTATGGACCCACACCACCGGCCATTGATTCTCATGGAGCAGCCGATAAGAATTTACTTGGATCAAAAGCATACATTGGTAACAATGAAGGCAGAACTTTGTACACTAAGGTAGAGGGCAGCAAGGACCAATATAATAAGCTACCTACGGTAATTAGTAACAACAGTAGTACAAAGGAGGGTGTTTCTCAGTTAAAATATTCAAACTACAATGCTGCTAGTGCTGTTAAAACCGTACAGGGGAAAAAAACTGATGGTATGTCTGCTGTTGTTAGTACTTTATTATCTTCAAAGACCTTGCTGGCAACAGACGTGGGAAGCGTTATGTTCCAAGCCTTCATGTGTAGGATGCGGCACAAAGCCATTTCTTCGAAGCACAGACTACCTGTTAGTCTGACTAGGCTCAGTGGTAACTTCTTCCCGAACCAAGTGCCAAATGAGCTCAGTAGTCTGACAGACAACGTATCTACAAGGAACGAGATATATAAGAAAGAAATACCTACTAGAATTGCTGGAGATTTCGACGGAGGAATGTTAGATAGTCACATGAGTGCACCAGTTGGCGTGTGGCGGACTGTTTCAGTCCCAAAAACAGCAAAGCCTGCTAGTTCGCCAAATATTGACGCAGGCTCATCCTTGCCCCATAGTTCATTTAGCGAAAGCAGCTTGCTTTCTTATGGCCAAAGGCAACCATTGCAAGAGCTTCTAGATGGAATAGTGCTACTTGTACAGCAAGCTACTTCTTTCGTTGATTTAGCTCTGGATTCAGATTGTGGGGATGGGCCTTATGGCTGGCTTGCACTGGAAGAGTTGTGGAGACGGGAATTGTCGTGTGGACCCTCTGCTGGCCATGCAGGTTGTGGGGGAACTTTGGCTTCCTGCCATTCTCTGGACATTGCTGGTGTCAAGCTAGTTGACCCACTCTCTGCTGAGGTAAGCTTTCAAAATGGTGTAAGATGCAGAGAAATAAGGGAATGTATTTTCGTTTTGAATGGCTAGTAATCACAGCTTGTTCATATTTCTCCTGCTGCAACCATAGTATGGTACATGATGTTCTACCGGTTTAAACTTGATTCTGAAGATTTGTTTCCTTTGTAGATTTTTCCTTCCTCTGTCATTACTCTACTGCAATCTGACATCAAGACAGCTCTGAAAACCGCATTTGGTCAGTCAGACGGCCCATTATATGTCACAGATTGGTGTAAGGGCCGAAATCAATCAATGGATGGAGTATCTATTTCCGAGGGATCTACTGCTGAGTCAGTCCTGAGTGAAGGTAAGTAGCGCATGATTTTTGATTATCTTTTGGTCTCGCACGCTGGCTATTCTCGTTGAACTCCGTTGTTTCTACTGTGGTTGTTAATGCTGTTATTAATGAAAATCTTTGCATACAAGCAGTGTCAAATGCAACAGATGGTGGGAAAGGAGAGGAGTCTGCTCAGAGCCAAGATATGTACAGTTCAGAGTTACTCCGACCGACACTTTTTGTTCTTCCATCACCCTCTATTCTTGTCGGGTATGCATGTCGCTGTCTGTTCTATTAGTAGTCTGAGTGTAAATGTTTTTCATAGAATGTGGTCTTTACCAAGATCCCTTGTGATCGGGTTATTTCCTGAAGTATGATTTCGTTCTGTTAGGATTGTTAAATACTTATTGTTGGTGATTTGAGCTCGCCTTACTTATGCGCCCTTCCCCTGTGACAGGTACCAAGATGACTGGCTTAAGGTCTCAACAAACTCCTTACCACATTGGGAAAAGGCCCCTTTCGAACCATATGCTCTGCCTAAAAATGTGAGCATTTATGGATTATGCCTGAGAGATTTGCTTTTGTTTTCCGCACTTGGAGCCAATTGATACTCTTGACCTCTAAGATACCTGTGATTGTTCTTTGTTACCTTTGGCAGATGAACTATACTGTTGTATGCCCGGATATAGATCCTTTAACCAGTGCTGCTGCCGATTTCTTCCAACAACTTGGAACTGGTGAGTCAACGAATTTTTATATTGTGATAGAGGTTGTAATTCAAACATACACGAACTTATTTCTGCTAAAGACGTTTCCTGAAAATTCTGACATTTTCTCATCATTGTGTTGTGCTGAACCTTTTATTGCCTAGTTTATGAGACGTGCAGACTGGGGACCCATTTGCCACATATCCTGGGAAATCAAATGGAAACTGACGCTGGAAGATTATCCTCATCAGGATTTGTTCTGCTTGATTGCCCTCAATCGATGAAGATTGAAAGCAATAACACATCACTTCTGGGATCTCTCAGTGATTATTTTCTGTCTTTGTCGAATGGGTGGAATGTGAGTAGCTATCTGAAGTCTTTATCAAAAGCGCTGAAAGGTCTTAAGCTTGGGTCTTGCCTTAACACAAACCAGAAAGAAGGGTCAGCTAGTCCATGCATGGTAAATGCTAAAAAAATACAGATGTTAATTGTGATAAGTATTTCTTTTCCCACTTCTACCAAGTGTAGCTGTTGATACTTGTTGGCTTCTACTTTTCTTTCAGGTAGTGTACATTGTGTGTCCATTTCCCGACCCTTCGGCAGTTTTAAGGACGATCGTCGAGTCGTCTATAGCACTTGGATCAGGAATACAGCCAGATAGAGACAGGAGATCGTTACTTAATAGTCAAGTTGCAAGGGCGTTTGGTAGTTCTGCTGCTGTAGACGAAGCATCAATATCTCACATTCCAGTGCTTTCGGGGTTTAGCGTCCCTAAACTAGTTTTACAAGTGGTGTCTGTTGATTCTATTTTCCGGATAACAAGTCCAAGCTTTAATGAGCTTGTCATCCTCAAGGATACTGCTTTTTCTGTCTACAATAAAGCTCGGAGAATTTCACGAGGAATGCCTAATGATGCATTTCTCTCATCACCATTATCTAACAGATCCTCCTCAGCCTTGGCGCCAATGAATTCTATTTCAGGAATCTGGAAAGATTGTGTTGGTTCTCGAATGACAGGTTCTACACATCCAAGAGATGGTGAACTTGATGGTAGCATCAGAACGAGTAGTTGGGATAGCTGGCAAATGACAAGATCTGGAGGATTAAGCTGCGACTCAAACAGAAATGGAGATTTTTACAATAATGATGAAGTTTTCTATCTATTTGAACCGCTTTTCATCCTTTCCGAGCCTGGTTCCGTGGACCGTGGAGTTTCACCTACTTTTGGCGGCTTGGGATCTGAGTCTTCAAAGCCAATACCTGAGGATGGTGGCAGAGGTTCAGGACTTGGCGTCAATTCAATGGAAGGTATAACATCGGGATCAAGCTCCCAGGGGGATGCATCCCAAGTTGAAGGAAAGGCTACTCCAAGTTTACATTGCTGCTACGGCTGGACAGAGGACTGGAGATGGCTTGTAAGCATCTGGACGGACGCCAGGGGTGAATTGCTGGACACTCATATATTTCCCTTCGGTGGAATTAGCAGTAGACAGGATACGAAAGGGCTGCAGTGTCTCTTTGTTCAAGTTCTGCAGCAGGGATGTCAAATACTACAGGCATGTTCCTCTCCTGACAATGGATCTTTCAAACCCAGGGATTTTGTCATTACACGCATTGGGAGCTTCTTTGAGCTAGAGTACCTAGGTAAATTAGCTTCTTTTACCTTATACATATTCTAAATCCAGATGGAAGTAGAATTCTCTATTATTACTTGTTTCATAACCCTGGTGTTTTTGTTTGTCTACTTCTTACTTATATAACAGAGTGGCAAAAGGCAATTTACTCAGCTGGAGGTCCTGAGATTAAGAAGTGGCCTATTCAACTTCGACGTTCTGCACCTTCTGGCGTAGCCACCAATAGCAACGGATCTTCCTTGCAACAGCATGATCTGAGTTTGATTCAAGAGAGAGCCTCGTCTACTAGCACACTCTACGGCTCTCACTCAAAACCATCCACATTTGTGAAAGGCGGTATTGGGCACTCTGCTGGAAGAAAGCAAGCAATGGGTGGACAAACCATTTCTGGTACTCCAAGGGGTTTGTTTCAGTGGGTTCACAGCATCAGTTTTGCTTCTATTTCACTTGATCATTCTCTGCATTTTGTTCTTCCGGCTGAATTGGTATCTCCTGGTCAGTTTTTGGTTGCTTTCTATTGTTCTCCTCATTTCACACCATGTATATGTTCACACAGATACTGACTTGCATGTATACTTGCGCAATTACGCAGGAGGTGGCCAGAGCAGTACTGGTATGAGTTCAGCAAATTACAATGAAGGTTTCACTCCTGTCAAGTCTCTTGGGTCAACGGCTTTCTCTTACATGATGATACCATCACCCAACATGCGCTTTCTTCATCCAAGTCCTCTTCAGCTGCCTACATGTTTAACTGCCGAATCACCTCCACTTGCTCACCTTCTTCACAGCAAAGGCTGTGCGATCCCCTTGTCTACGGGATTTGTTGTTTCAAAAGCTGTGCCTTCCATGAGAAAAGACTCGAGAATAAACATGAAAGAAGAATGGCCATCAGTTCTCTCTGTAAGTCTAATAGACTATTATGGTGGTTATGACAATGCTCATGACAGAGTTCTTCAAGGAATCATGAAGCAAGGTGGTGGAGGGACCAAAGAAACTAGAGATTTTGAGGTTGAAAGCCATCTTATCCTTGAGTCAATTGCAGCAGAACTCCATGCTCTATCGTGGATGACTGTTAGTCCAGCATATCTAGATAGGCGGACTGCATTGCCATCTCACTGTGATGTGGTTCTCAGACTGAGTCGTCTGCTTCATTTTGCGGATAAAGAACGCTCCAGGCTACCAAATAAGTCGGAAATTTGAAAAAATTCGGGAGCATAGCATACTACATATCACTTTAAGTTCATTATCACAAGATGAGACCAAGCTTTCTGTAGAGTGCGTCCTGCAATCCTGAGTAGTCTGTCACGTTTTAAGGCGCTTAGGTTTCTCGGGCTAGTTCACCAGTGCTATAATATAATACATTATAAAGTAGGAAGAAGTGGTGTAGATCTACTAGATGTAGCCAGGTTTTTATTTGGGGCTTAAAAAATCTGTAAAAAAAAATCTTAGCATTTACGGCTTGCTCTACTTGTTCTGATTCACTTTTAGGTGCATAGGTTAGTTTCCTTATTGCCCCTTGTATTTGTAATTTAACTTTATTTCTCATTCCTCTGTAAAGTCGACACAATATTTATTAAGAGTTGATACCTCTAAGAGGCACATTATGTCTTTTCTTTACACCCAAAGGCACATTGCACATGTAAGGCACAATATTGAGTGTCCAATGGGAGAAGAAGTCTAAATTGCCCTTAGAGCATCTCCAATCCCACTCCATAATTTACTGCAAAATGGAGTGGGAAATAGAGTGATGAAGAAACAAAAATATCATTACTCCATATTTGGAGTAATCACTTTTTTGTTTCTTCATTACTCCATTTCCCACTCCATTTTGCAGTAAATTATGGAGTGGGGTTGGAGATGCTCTTAATGAGAAGGAGGAGAAACTCGGCCGGTTTAGAATTGGTTTGTTTTAAGTGATTTGGTTTGCCTGATTTTGGTTCTGGTTTAGTTTCCTTTTCTATGGGAGCATTTTGTCTTATGTTTGGAGGCAAAAAGCATCTCCAAAGCTTGGCCATTGGATTGAAGAAGCTATTTTATAATTGTGTGGCTGTGATTGAAAGTTTTGTTAGTTTGGTTTCCAAAAGGACGTGTCTTTGTCTACATTTATTGCCTGTGTTGGGGTTTTGGGAGCTAAGAAGATTCAGAGCTGTTGTCGGATAGCGTAAGTCATTTGTGTTCTTTGTCTTGTTAAACTGAAAACAATTTGTTCTTTGTCTGTCGTTACTGTAAGTTTTGTTCTTTCTCTGTTTATACAAAAAGTTTGTGTTTTTATGTGTTTACATTAAAAGTTCCTCCTCTGTCTTTCTCTATTGGGAGGTTTCTCTGGTTTGTGGATAGGGTAAGTGGATACTAAAGTTTTGATCTTTCTGTGTTTATAGTGAAAGTTTATGTCATTCTCTGTTATGCTATCTCCTCTGTTTAGTCTGAGTTTCAAAAATAGAGTTTTTGTCTCCGTCTGTTAGTGAGAGCTTTGGTCTCTTTGTTTGTGAAATTTTTTGTTCTTTCTCTTTTGTTACTGCTAAAGTTTTGTTCTTTCTCTGTCTATACAAAAGTTTGTGTTTTTATGTGTTTACATTAAAAGTGTAGGTCTTTCTCTGTTTTGCTGTTTCTCTGGTTTGTGGATGGGGTAACAAAATGTTTAGTTTCTACTAAAGTTTTGATCTTTCTGTGTTTAAAGTGAAAGTTTATGTCTTTCTCTGTTTTGCTATCTCCTCTGTTTAGTCTGAGTTTCAAAGATAAAGTTTTTGTCTAGGTCTGTTAGTGGGAGCTTTGGTCTCTTTGATTGTGAAATTCAAACTTTTTAAATTTCTGCTGCGTTATGTTTATTTCAGGAGGTTTAATGGAGGAGCATTGCATGGTTATGTGCGGCGAGTGGGTCCGAGGTGATGGAGGCAAGTGGGATTTTGTTCTAGACAAAACAGAGCTGGGAAGGCTAGTTCCTTTGTACGAAGGTATAAGTCTGAGGGAAGTACTTGAGAACGTCTTGCGTGAGTTTGGTGTTTCTGGAGAGATGTTTGGTGCTTGTGTGAGCTACTGGCCGCCGTCGACCAAAGAGTTGGCAACAGGAATTAAAACCCCGCCGGTTTTAATTACAAGCGACGGAGGAGTTAAGTACTTCATGCAGCATCTTAGGGCTAAAGGTTCCATGAGTCTGTTTGTACGTTTTGAAAGGAAGGTTGCGGACGAGGACAGCGTTGATGATTATGGTATGGGATTTGTAACTCCTTTAACATTCAAGCCGAAGTCACCGTTTGGATCTTGCTCCTCGAGGCGTCTGAGTCCTTCTAAACCCGTTTCAAAAGACAAAGATGTTAACTTTGAAGACGATGACTTTGTAAGCGAGGTTGAAAGAGTGGACGAGACAATAAAGGAGAAGAAGGAGATGAGGAAGGAAGACGATGTTAGCGGCTGTAGTTTTGGTGATGGTTTCAACGAGGAGGATGAAGATGGTTTTGCTGATGCTGTGAACAAGGAGGTTGACGCGAGAGATGTTAGACCTCGAGGCTATGACACTGAGTTTGGAGTCCACTGTTAAACGGTGACTACGGTGGGTCTGATGCTGTCAATGTCATCTACAACGAGGATGAGATTGTTGCTGATTTAACGAAGGCTAGTGGTCCAAGACGGTACACATCATTCACTAATGACGCCTTTGACCATGTCGTGGAGGTTGGTGGTGTTAGCAACTCGAGGAAGGAGGATGATGATGATAAGAAAACGTGGATGGGGTCAAACAACCCGTGGATGAGTGGGAACAATGTTAATTCAAGCTTTGAAAGGAGGCCCCGTGTTTCAACTCGAGCTCTGGAAGATGTGGATGATGAGGAATTTGACATTCCACCACTTTTTGATGATACAACCTATGCTGCAGCTGAGATTCCTGATATGGATTTGGAAGAAGCAGATGGTAGGATATTTGTGGGGAAGGTTTTTGGAAACAAAGAAGATTGTCAGATATCTTTGGCAATATACGCTATAAGGAATCAATTTAAGTTCAAACAAACGAAGACAAAGGTTGATTCTTTTGTTGTGCAGTGTCCTGATCCAAGATGTGATTGGCGTGTTACAGCCCATGAGATTAGGGGCTGTGGATATTATGAGATAAGGAAAGCTCAGCTTGATCATACCTGTCCAATAGATTATCGCATGGGATACAAGAGTAGAGCAACATCAAAGGTGATAGCAGCTGTATACAGATCGAAATTTGGAGTCAGAGGCAAAGGCCCAGTGCCATCTGAACTGCAAAGG